GTCACAAGTCACTTCTAAAAAGACTTAAGTCATAAGTCGTAAGTCTTTTTTGAAATAAAAATGACTTAAGTCTTAAGTCATTTTTTCTATAAAACAGAAAAGATTTAAGTCTTAAGCCTTTCAAAAAGACTTAAGTCTTTTTTTTTAAGCCTTAAGTCTTATTAAAAATGACTTAAATCAAATATATAACGACTTAAATCTAGAAAAAGACTTAAGTCATTTTTAGGGACTTAAGTCCCTAAAAATACTTAAGTCGTTTTTAGATTTAAGTCGTTTTATAGGTTTAAGTCGAAAAAAAAAAGATTTAAGTAAAAAAAAACAAATACCTTACTCATTTTGAGAGATTCAAAACAAGATCAAAGAGTATATATCTAATAGATACTCTTTGACAAGACATTTAATGAAATTTATTTTTAAAATAGGTGCATAACAAAAAGTTGATCACTTAATTAGTCAATTATTGTATTGTATATAATAATGTACTGGCACACAGTGTTGGAAATGCCCAAAAAGCTGGCCAAAACCTATAAAATCTACATTAATATATTTGAGTAAATTTAATTTTTTTTCATTAGTAAACTAATAAAGGTATGTTAAAAACATATAACAAATTTCTTAAGTTTCATAACTGATTTAGTAGAGAAGGGCAAATTTGAACTTTCTTGAAGTGATTTTTTCCATTTCAAGTAACCAGTAAAAAAGGTACTTTTTCAAATATTATTTTTTTAATTATCATTAAAGTATATGCTAATTTTAAATGAATTACTTATTTTAGGTGGATAAAACGATTTTTTAGTGAAAACATATTTATTATATATGTAACCAAACTTATGTTATCTTCAATTAAAGTTAGTTGAGTAAAACTGCATTTTCTAAAATTATTGTAATTTTTAAAAAATGATTTTGTTTAGGACCTCCACGAGCCGGAGCTCAAATTTTGTCATGATCAGAAAGTTAGTATCTTGGTGTGTTAGTACCATGAAAAATTGGATCCGGTTTGATCCGGTCCTGGGTGCTATCCATAAATTACAGTTTGCTTATTTTAAAACTTATGTGAAAATTGTTTAATAACTTTTAAAGTAACTTAATAATTTTTTAATATAAAAAATACTAGTTATAACTATAGTTAACTTTTAAACACCTTTGGCGAATTTAGTTCGCCAGGGACGGACTAGCTTTAATTTGATTATGTCAATTTTTTTAAGCGTGTAACAATTTAAGCCTCTATACATGGTGTTGCATGAGGAAACCGACATAGCTTAAGGGTAGGTGTAGTTTTCAGAGGTGAATCCGAATCTGGCTTTGAAAAAATTCGGAGGTCCTTCGTTTAAGAGTTACAGGGTGATTTATGTATTTTGTCGAAAATTTTGAAAAATCATATTTTGGGAATGGATCAATAGAATTGCATAAAATTTTATATACATACTTAAGTATAAAGTACCTGCACAGCGCTGTATCGGACATTCAAAAAAAAAATCAGGACCGGACCTAAAATTTTTTTTTATTTTTTTCCCACTAAAAACACCTTGTATATATTTTTTTCTAAAATCCAAAGTCAGGTTCTGAAAGAGCATGAAAAGTTCTACCAAAATGGCCAATAAAATTTAACGGCACCATCAAGGCGTTTAAAAAAAAATTATCGAAACATTTTACAGTTTTTAATTTTTCTTCGACTTTTCGAATATTCCAATAAATCAGCAAGCTAACCGATTTGAAATCATCAGTTAAGGTTTATTTGCAATTTAAAAAAATGTTTACTTATTCTAGTGAAGCTTCAAGACCGTAATTATTTGTTTTGTTGACATTAAAAAAAATTGAGTAAAAAATATTTTATCCATAATCACACCAAAAAAATATAAAATAATTAACTCAACTTTTAAATAAGCATTAAAAATAAAACATTACAACATTATGGATCATTTTCAAAGTGACCAGCAGTTAATTTAAAGCCCAAAATACTAACAAAATAAGCGCCAATTTTTCAATTGTTAAGTTAATTTGACGATTAACTTTCATGGATACTATACTATACCCACACCTATTGTCTTGACAATAGGACCACAGAATAGGACTTTAAATAAAGAGAAGTTTCACCTATACCACCTCCAAAATGTTCAACGACTAGAACCAGGCGACGAGGTTCCTAGGCGAGATTTCTAGAACTGCAGTTCCATGGATTCTTAACCATTCAATGTTGTCAACGACTCGTTGAACATTTTGGAGGTGGTATGGGTAAAACTTCTCTTTATTTAAAGTCCTATTGTCAAGACAATAGGTGTGGGTATAGTATAGTATCCATGAAATTTAATCATCAAATAAACTTAACCAACAATTGAAAAACTGGTGCTTATTTTGTTAAGTATTTTGGGCTTTAAATTAACTGGTGGTCACTTTGAAAATGATCCATAATGTTGTTATGTTTTATTATTTATTTATTTTTTTAAGAATTTAATTCTTACCTATTTTGTCATTTTAAAAAGAATTAAATCATTATTTTGACTTAAGTCATTTTAAAAAGATTTAAATCATTTTTAGACTTAAGTCATTTTAAAAAGATTTAAATCATTTTTAGACTTAAGTCATTTTAAAAAGACTTAAGTCATTTTTTTGTTTTAAGTCATTTTAAAAAGACTTAAGTCCTTACGCAAATGTAGAAAAAGCTTAATAATACAAATCATTTTGAAAATGACTTAAGTCTTAAGTCTCAAGTCGTCCAAAAAAAAAGAGACTTAAATCAAATGACTTAAGTCACAAAAATGACTTAAGTTAAAAAAAAGACTTAAGCTTTCTGCTGTCTGACAGCTCTGGTTATCACATCAATTATTTTCTTCTTTTTTCGCTTTTTGTTCGTGTAACATTAACACATCGAAACTAAAAAACGGGGGGATATTTATATTTCCTTTGCTTATTGATAATTAATCTATATTTACGTGCCTACTAAAGTATAAACTGAAATTTTGATCGCGTAAATTTATGTACAGAAATAAAGTTTCCATTTAATTAAAACAGTTACATTGCAGATGACAATTAATTTGAGATTCCAATTAAATTTTATTTAAATTAAAAGTTTCAGGTATATTATATTATATTATAATTTTCACTTTCTATGCTTTCGTGATTTATTATAATGTGACAATGTGACGGTTTTTTGTTTATTTATTCATAGAAAAACATACATAAAAACTCATATCTACTCCTATTGCATAATATTGTTTTTTTCGTAAATAATGATAAATATTATAAATTCCCTGCCTTTCAACGGGAATAATGAACTCATTATTCACGTTGTTAGGCATTAGTGATGGCCGATTTCAATATTTACTGTGATTTGAACCAATAGGGTTTTAAGTTGGGAGAAGGCGACTATAATAATATTTAAAATTGGTAAAAAGTATCGTACATTTCCATGACACTAAGTGACCTTTTAAATACACATTAACAAGTTGTAGCTTTATGACGTTTAAGTCACGGGCTTAAATTAGCAACACAGTTTTAGTCACGTGCTAAAGTTAGTTTTAAGTTACTTGACAGTTGTCAAATGCCATACAATCGTTAAAATAAAGTGCCCTTCTTGTGCCCTTCTTGTGCTCTAAATGTAAACATTATTTTTATTTATTATCTCAATACAAAAATACAAAAGTTTTAAATAGTTTCTCAACCCCAAAGTTTATATGAACATTGTAATGAACTTTAAAGTTTTCGGACTCCACCATGGAGTGCCCATAAAACATTTTCTTCACTTTCACTGTAAAAAACTGCTTCTATTTTGGATTTAAACCACAGAGGAATACATTTTGATTTACACATAAAAATTCGACATTTTCACCGGCGCGCCGGTAATACAGATACCCAAAAACGCTTACTCTATTGTTTTATAGATGTTGCTCTATAAAAATATTTATTTATTTTATTTTTAGAAAATAATAAGTAATGTCGTAAAAAAGTATAGTATATAACTCGTTTTTAAACTTCTAGTGACTCATTTAATTAAACTACTAAACTACCTAAAATTCGTGACTAAAATGGCGTTTATTAAACTTGATACATACTTAGATACCTACTATTATATTCAGAAAATTCCTGAAACGATTTATTCGTTTTTTAAATAACTAACCAGACATAAATATAAACACTTAAAACAGTTACCGAAATAGCTTTGATAATTATATATTTTTTAATGTTATAGTAAACAATTTTTGGATAGGTAGTAGGTGTGGACATTATTTTTTAAAGCTATGCTTCTTAACAGAGGTTTGAGGTTTTGGGATTGGAAATTATTTCCGAAAAATCGATATTGCAAATTTCTAAAAACTTTAAAATTAATTCTTTTTTTAAATCAAGAACGTAAATTGCTTTACACATCTGCTTTTTTAGTAACTGTAAAATGTGTGCTGTTAAAATATATTTTTATCGTAATAACCAATTAAGGAGATAATTAAAACCATCATGAGCATATAATTATCTTGTCATTTTCAAAAAGGTACCCTGTTAATATTAGATTCAATAAAATAAAGTTTTAAAATATTGATTAAAGTTGCCTGGATCGAAAGAAGAAATATAAAAAATGGAACTAAACTAAAAGATTGCATTCTTAATACATAAAATTCATCCGGTGTTCTCCAGATAGATGGGTTGATTATAGACTTGCACGTGGACCGGCCCCGGTAGATTTGAAATTCCTACAGCTTTAGAAGACGGTCGCTCCCTCTGGAGGCACGTTCCGAACTCCGACTCGGAAATTCAGTCCAATTAACAGTTCATACCGAACGCTCGCGGTGAAGAGAACGCGCGTCAACCACACACACTCCGTATACCACCGACACACTCAAATCTGTTCCCTCAAGTATGATCGTTCATATGGATTACAAGTGAAGTGAACCAGTGTTGCCAAAACGCAAAGCAGTGATTCGCCGTTGTGTTCTGTTGTTTTTGGTAAAAAAAGTGCAAAAGTGTCGCGACGTGTCTTCGAGGTACGTGGTGTTGGCCGCAGAAATAGTGGAATGGTCGCCAGCACAAACGTCGAGAACCAACAGAATGCAGACATGTACTGCGGTCCCGTGCATTCGCCTTACAGGGATTTCTACCCCGAAAACCACTACCACTACATGCACGGCGCACCGCCAGAAATGTGCATGCCCCACGGTAAGCCACTTGGACCATTAAGACTCTCACAGACGTCACAATCTTTCACATCCTTCCGTAATACACATCCTGAATTAATTAATTACCTTCGACACCTGTTGCCATCTTAAAAACGCAACTTACACCTCTCATATTTTAAATATTCAACTGAATTATTATCTAGCACTTGTCTGACCAACATGCCATTATCGTAACGAATGATTCAGTTAATTATAAATTAACGTCGAAACAATGTATTTTTACTGAAGCAGAACGAAACATCTTTTTCGTTACTGTAAATTTATAAAGTATAAATAAAATCATCATTTTATTATTGTTTAGATGACTATTTGGAATTTACAACGATACATAGGTTAGACAATAGTATGTGGGCAATAAACTCCAATTTGCACTATTTATTTAAAATCACACAATTGAGCCTAAAATGTATTCCCTCATCTTATTACATAATGTAGGCGCACCCTTTAATTATAGCAACCTCAGGGTTGTCATCCGGGACCCACATCGTCACCAATCAAATCAAATGTGGTTTGATAATATTTCTGGGTACAAATCTAGTTCCTACTAATACATAAACGAACTATTGATGCAAAAAAAATTTTTCAAAAGGCAAATAAGCGTTGCAGTATACCTATTTAATCAGTAAAATTGGATGCTCATCCGAGCAAAGAGGATAATATATGGACTACCTGTTGCTCGAGGTTTGTACCTAAGAGTGTGTGCATTTCACTAACTTAATGCCCGATCGTATTTTACAGTGTTAACTGTTGACTTCTGGCTGTCAATAATAATATTCATAGTAGAATTTTCTATTTTATAATCCACCAATTATGCGTTAATTGGACGAAAAACTTTGTTACATGCGTGTTTTACAGAAATTTAGGAAGTTATGCATTATAATGTTCATCAAATTACCTGTTGAACGTATACAGACACGAGATACCCAATTCAATTTATTATCCGTCATTTCATATAAGAAATTAACTTTATCTTTTGTGGTGGACAATGATTAATGAATCGTTTAATTATAAATTAAAATCTATTGTTCAAACCAAATATTTATCAATCGGGTTTTTTTACAAATTCTTTACAAAACCACATACATTATCTATCCAAATAAAAACATTGCACAATATATTTCGTAAACGATTTGTATTCTAGTAAACCGATTTTTATCAAAGCTCCGTTTGTTTATTAGATTGATTCATTCTATATAATTCATTGACTGTGTTTAAAAACAAGATTGCCCTCAATTGATGTTTGTGGTTTAATAAAACGTTATCGAGGGTTCAACATTCAAGAAATACTACTCTTTTCGTTCTTAATTTTTTGTAAATATTGGCATATTTTATCAAACTTTAAATAACTTTTAGGGTTCATTCAAAATATAACAAGAACACTATACAAGAAAATATTGCAAGAATAAAGAGTAAGTATGAGAGAGAGCGTAGATATTGCAAACGAAAGATCTATATATCCTATATATTGCTATCTTTGTCTTTAAAGGTAAACGTATGCGGTCTTCCTAAAATACTGACATAACTAATTTCGTTGATAGTTCAAACCTTTTTACTTATTATAAATGTGCTTCAAAGGAAACCAAAATAATTAAAACGAGCTTCAAAAAAACGCAAAATCAGAAAAAGGTGCTTTAAAGGAGCCCAAAATTATTATTAATAAATAAGTATCTTAATAAACATGTAATAAAAAAATAAAATCAGGGTTGGCATTTAAATGACTTAATTCGAGAATTAAATCAAATGACTTGTTGTTAAAATGCCATGTATTAATTTAAACTTTTATTTCTAATTTAATTGCATCGGGAAACGGGTAAAATCAGCTTTCAGATTTTTTACAATCTAATGCAATTTTCAAAACATTTGAACAAAAATTTTGCTGCAAAATAAACTCGACAAGAATAATGAAAACGGCGCGAAAAGTGATATAAGTTTTGTAAATTTTAAATATTGGTAAAGAGAAAATCTTCTTAGAATGTCTTCAGGAATTGTTATTTAAAATATTTTTCGGTGCAAGGTACTATAAAATAAACAAAAATTAGTCAAAAAGTTAAATAATGTTGACAAAATTATTTAAAAAAAAATGACAATCTTTGAAATGGATGTTTTATTTATTATTTTGACCTTATATTTTATTTAAATAATAGAAATATTTTTAATATTTGAGTTTGTATTTTGTAATGTACGTATAAAAGTTTAGATTTTTTTCTTTTTTATCAAATTCCTAACTTTTTACAACCGTGATTGGAATTATAGTATATTATTGTACGGGAGATAAAGCAGGTTATTATTCACGAGGCGTATCAAGTCGCCAGACGAGTGAATAATGGGCATAATCTTGAGTTTAATACTATACCTACTTTATCTACTTCAATAACTAGATAATTAAATAATTTTCAAAAATAAATAAATAAAATCTGTCAAATGGTTAACCTCACTTTTTACCCGATTAATTCAAATCACAGTGAATATTCAAATCGACCAAACAATGTGAATAATGAGTTCATTATTCCCGTTGTTGGGCAAGAATTTATAATGTTTATTAATATTTACGAAAAAAAAACAATATTATGCAACAGGAGTAGCTAAAAGCTTTTATAGTATAATTTAGTACAATTATTGATTATTTTTTTCTTAAAACGTTGTATTAAAGTGATCTTTTAGTTCCACCCTTACTTCTAAGAAGTACCAGAAGCAAACTAAATGGCTTGTGCTGGTTAGGGGTAGAAACGGACCGCGGGCTTAAGGTCCCCTCCGAAGGACATACTTAATAGAAGAAATACAAATAAAGAACCATAGCAATGTGGGACTTAATCCCACGACCTCTCGTCAGCAGTACTGACCACAAGTCCACTGTTGGCGGTGGATATAAAAATATATATTTATTTAAAAAAATCTTGTTATTCATTTCTATACAAATTAAACTGTAGTAAGTATAATTTTCTTTACCAGTACCTATTTTTTAACTTTACACACTTTTTAGTTGTTAATCCAGTGTTTTTCAGTGTTATTACATAATTATTTAAATTAATCCCACAACAATATCTAATGGTATTTTGAACAAATTTTTTACTGGCAAAACATTACTCTGAATATATTTATTGTTTTTTAAATAACTTGAAATCATATAGAATATAACATTTTGAAAAATGTAATCTTGATGTCTGCAAAACATAAAATAACCTAGGACATACCTTTCCAAGGCAAATTTGACTTGACAATATTTCCTTGTAATATTTACTTATAATGTACAAGTATTCTTGGAACATTTTGGGAAAATGCGATAAAATTTTCAATTAGTTCAGAGAAAGGTCTTTTGTGCAAAATCGTATTTTCATAGACGACGAGTTTTAATAATAAAATTCACTACACACTTTTCTCAACAACGCTCCCATAAATCTCTCAGTATGACGTCTTTGCATTAACACCAACTTTTTATTCAATTTAGTTTTTGTCTGCTAATGTATATTGATTTGTCTAATGCTTCTATACAGACTGCGATATTATTTTAAAAACAGAACCATTCTTATAATGGATTCACAACCTTTAATAACAGTTTAAATTATTAAACAAAGTATTGCTCAAGTATGCGAAAATATGTAGAGGTAAATAACTTTCTCCTATTTTTTAAATTATATCGCCAATAAGTCTATAATTATAGACTTATTGCATGTTTTTCTATTCTATTTCTCCTTGAAGAAATAAACTCTTTCACTTGTCTATATTTTAAAAGCTAATCTATTAAACTCTGATTTATGTCAGCAATTAAAAAGATTTGAAAATGTCTGGTTCAGAGAATATTGGGTGGCATCAGTTCAATAAATTGTTTTAGTGTCAATAATCCTAATAAAAAGGTCAAATAAAATGGCTGAAGAGGACATATTTCATGAATAATTTAGAGTAATAAAACTGAGTACGAGGGTTTATTATAATTTGTAACCACTTCTATATTGACAAGCTGTGACTTTATGGCGTTTAAGTTACAGGCTGAAGTAAGAAACAGTGGCTTTTGAGCATTTTAGCCACGGGATAAGGCTAGCTTTATTATAAATTGGTAGAAAGTAAGGTTAAATTTTGTCTGACAGATGTAGTATAACATAAAACTCGTTTATAAACTTTTCTAGACACTCGTGTTTATTAAACACTTGCTCGCAAGCGTCGCCCGTGCCTAGTTAAAATTCGTGATTAAAACGCCGTTTATCAAACTTGATACATATACATTGACAAGACGTGTATCAAGAAATTTACTGCAATTACTGGTTTGCAACAGTGTATTAAGTTACCTAAAGGATGGGCTAAAGTGAGCTTTAAGTTAAAATTGGAAAATATTAATGTTAAAACCGTTTGACAAATGTAAGATTGGCAAAAGTGAGCTTTAAACTGCTTGACAGTTGTCAAATGGCAGATAAAATGTCAAATACAATTTTCTTTAATTTCTGAAAAACAGTATTTTGTTTTCGTCGCAGAAAAAGTATGGTATGCAATTGTTTTATTATAAACTCGATCCGCAGGCTACTCTCGTCCATAATAAAACTACTAATTGAAATGGCATTTTTAAAACTTGTTACATAATATATTAACTTCCTATGTATTTCTATATTAGTTTAATATGTAATACAAGCTAATGGATAAATACATTTTTAATGTGAACTGTTTACAAAAATTAGTATTATTTACAAATGGGTTAGCAAATGATGAACGTTTATTTTTAACTCAGTATCATATCAGATTTTCTATTAAATACTATTTACACACTCAGTGTCATGTAATTGACTGAAATAGGTAATTAAGTTTTTATACATAGTTTGCACGTAAAATGTGATTTAAATCACAGGTCAAATATCAAGGCAATTCAACAATTACTTATTTTGATTTCATCAACACTATTTCGAAAAGCAGTTTCGTGCCAAACGTGTCCAAAGTTGTTTTAACATTTAACACTGATCTAAGTTTTTTCAGCTAAAATATTTACAGTTAACTTTT